ACTGATTTTTGATTTGCAATGCAACAAGTTCATATAGTCTTTTGGCCCACAGAATGCAAGGCATACTTCCAGGCCTTGTGCTGCTGGATGATGTGTGTGTTGAAATTAGGATTCTGGTGATGGTTGACTAGGTGTTCCTTCCGCAGCTTGGCTGTAATTGGAATGCATCATAGTCCCGGGGTTATTATTGATAGTAGTCTTGCATTAGGCGGTCTAGAGGAGATTGGATGTGTGTGTTCAATTCTTTTTTTTTGTACTTATACTTGTTCTTTCTTTTGTCCTATTCTTTCTATTGTTGTATGGACTCAGCGTCATGCGTCTCTTGTCCTTGGAACCAAAAAAGGCGTCAAACGTTCTCTGTCCTTTGGAACCCAGCAGCAATTATTACATCTTTACTAAGAGCCTTATGGAAAGGCAGAATGCTTTCTATCGAGCTGTTAAAAGCAGGGAAGTGATGATTTGCTTCCTATTAAAAGCAGATAATAGAGAGCTTGAATGAATTACCAGAACTTGCGGCCCCTATACAGCTTTTTGGTATTTTTGTCTTGGTTTATATTGTAGTGTGATAAATAGGAAATTGCTTGACAACTTTTGCCCAAATTATAGAATATGTCAACAACCCATGCAATTTTAATAATAATATTAATCAAATTACCATCAATTGTGCCGTTTATTAATTACGATGATATGTTATATTAAATTATAGTGTGATAAATACGAAATTGCTTGATAACTTTTGCCCAAGCTATAGAATATGTTAATAGTCCATGTAATTTTACTAATAATATTATATCATATTACTGCAGTTCTGTGATTTATTAATTACAATCGTATATTATATTAAATTACTGCAGGAAATTGTATTTAAGTGGAATAATAGCACTTGACAATAATGTACATGTTTTGGCTATTTTTGTCTTACCTTTACTTTATAGTGTGATAGATAAGAAATTGCTAAATAATTTTTGTTTAGTGCATGAGACATGGCAATGATCCATGTAAATATGCTAATTGTGTTATGTTAAATACCGCTATTATGCGATTTATTGGTTAAATAAGAATGTCTAATAGGAACATGATTTTTAGTGAATTACTAACACTGGCGTCAATATACATCTCTTCATGTGCATGGACAGCCATATATTCACTGGCTTCTGACGCTTTAATGGTTCCTCAAATTTGTAACGCATAGGCACTGCACGCTTGTGAGGCTTCTCTTCGCAGCTTTTCATGAAGTTTCTCCACCCGGCTTTTCATGAACGGAAATGGAAAGTAGCTTTCCATTCATTTCTCATGCAAACTTCAGACCTTATATTCCTCCCATGCAGCTCATTCTGTACCAGTTGCTCAGCTTCCCCTGGTTTTCTTTTTTCTGGCTCTTGGCATCAGCATCGGCAGGGACGGAGCCAGAAATTTATTTTTGGGGGGACTGAAGTGTATTAAAATTTTTTTTTTGTGACGAAATAAATATATTTAATAAGTAAAATTTAGAATCAATAATTATAAAAATAATAAAAACATATAATTATACATACCCAAAAATTTGTTATTGATTAACACTTGAAGTATTGGTAGTTGTTGCACTCGAATAACGAAGAGGAGGCAATTGCATTCTGCGAGTTTTCATCCGTTGAAAACGCTGCAATATTTGCTCATTTTCAATTGTTGCAAAAATATCCTTCTCGATGTATACAACCAGACAGTCATTCATCCACTCGTCTCCCATTTTGTTGCGCAAATCAGTCTTGACAATATTCATTGCAGAAAATACTCTTTCAACAGAAGCAGTCGCAACTGGTAGAACTAATGCCAAGTATGGGATAAGGTTCCCAACAATTCTTCTGTCTTCTTCAGTTTCGGAGTTTTATGCATCCTGAAAAAGAAAAAGCGAAGGAAGAAGACCATTGGTCTTGGTCGGGCAATTAAATGATTAATTGCAAAATAAATCTACATCTATTTTCTATACATAGACTTCTCCAATAAGTACCAAATGGTTCGAAATAGAAAGCATTGAATTGAAGGATTTGCAGGCCGCATACGTATTTATCCGGCCCGTTATCATTATTAAAAAAGCGATGTGTGTGATTATTCCTCTTAACCTAGCAAGGCATTATTGAAGAATTGAGTAAAGGTTCCCAAATTTAAAATGCTTGAATTGGTAGAAAAGCCCCCGCAGGTCATCATGGGTTTATGAACTCGCAAGTCATCATGGGGGACATGATCTCTTCACACAAATTTGCTAAACCAAACAAATAAAGAAAAGAAAATAAATTAATGTCGTCTACAGCCTTATCAGTTTTTTGAGTTTTACTTGAGAAGATTGCAAGTACTTCTCATGTTATTTCCCTGCATTAATGCCTACAATGTCTTTCAGTTCCGAATTGGGTAAGTTGGACGACTCCCGCGTCCGCCTTATTGGTCTCATCCACACCAAATACTCTTAATTGTCCTTGAATAAGAAAGATTTTTAGGAAGGGGAAAACAAAACTTAGATTGTCATCATCCTCCATAGGTTCCGCTGAAGTACTTGCCAGTATAAAACACTACACAATTTTGTCATGAAAAGAAAATGGATGTGTGTGTGTATCACTCACTACTGCTATTGCCATTTGCCTCTATTTATTTGTCTCAAAAAAGACCTGGAGGATCAGGCTCAAACAGAAAGTGAGAATAATCCACAAGGTCTTCTTCATCTTGTTGATTATTCACGTTGCCGTCACCGCCCAACTGGCTGGGCTGGCCGCCGGAATCCCCTATATATAGGGGGTTTTCCGGCGGCTTGGGGGGGGGCTTAAGCCCCCACCAGCCCCCCTTAAATCCGTGGCTGAGCATCGGTATACTCCTTGTTGCCATGAGGTGGAAGAGGTGTTCCTCCTGTTTCTACTTTAGATTTCTTTTAATCAAATTACATTTCTTGTTTCTTGGCTATCTATCCAGGTTCTTTTAGACTAGATGTTTGCTCCTTTTTCCTTGGTTTCGCACTGTTGCTGCACTAGATGTGCTGCTTCCCTTTCTTACATGCAGATTGTATGTGCATCTCCTGGAGTTGTAGCCACTTTCTACTCTTCGAACTATGTGACTTTTATTGTTTAACCTCCTTGCTCATTCATTCTTTTTTGGTAAATTTGTTTAGCCTCTTCTGTTTTTATTTTGCAAGTTTTCCTACTTTTTCTGCTATCATTTGCTATTCCTTTCTTGTTGGTCTTGTTTCTGTTAGTTTGCTTGGATAGTTTGTCTACTATAGATGTTATGTGGTATGAAAGTAGCCATATATATCACCTTCATGTCTTGCCGCTGTTCTGGCGTTTTTTGGCTGATAGCTAACTTGTGTTTGGGAGTGTGTGAATTATTTACTTCATTGGTGCCAGCTTAATGAATAGAAATACCAAGCATCGCAAGCGTTATGCAAAAATGCCACAAGAAAAGAAGGATAATCTCTGGGACGTCTTTGCTACTGAGCATCAACTGGAACTGGATGAAATTTTAGCTTTCCTTCCTGAATCAGCTTACACCTACAATGCTCTAATTTTTTATGAGTATGGTGTCGAAAAGCAATTCTCGTGGTATCATAGTTTCCATGTGTACTCCATCATGAAAAATGAGTGAATTTAGATCTATCAAAATAAGAAATTTCTCTGCGCCGTGTTTCTTTTTTCAGCGTTTAGTATAAGGACTATTTTTGCTCATGTATTATTCCATCCTCCACAACTCCTTTTTCTTTACTAGCTTAAACTTAACAAATGAAAAACCCTCCTACCAAAAAAGTTGCCTGCAAACATTTCATTTTTCTAGCCTCTATGCCTCTGCACTCACTGCTAAAAAGCAACCAGAGTGCATATCACAGGCTATAGGATAAGTAAACGAAAATGTATTTGGATTATGTCATTTTTCCTTACCACGGTGATTTGGAACTTGCATTGTAATGTTTTTATTAATTATTGGCTCTCTCTCACATGCACACACAAAACTGGAAAATTAAAGGGTACTGTGAAAGCTTTGGTGTCCTTTTGATAATTTGCTTCTTGTCTAGGTTGCTATTTAGTTGTGTTTCTTGCATTTATGATTCTTTGCCTTGTTCTTTTTCCTTCTGTTGCAATTGGGTACAGGATGTCAGGATGCTTATACTGGATTCTTTGGGTCAATATGTAGCAGCTTTTGCTATTAGCTTAATTGAGTGGATGATACTTTAGAGTTTCTTCTCCCTGTAGACTCACTATGGTGTCTTTGTTTTTGGGGATGAAGAAAAATTTGTATCAATCCAACTGAAACTGAATGCATTACATTGGAATAGCATTAACTTCTCATGTGGACATTTTAAAGTATAGCATATTCATTTTCTTTGCATACTTAGTGTACACCAGGAAAGCAAGGAATTTTAAATGTTCTGAATATCTCTTTAAATATAAAATAACCTATAGAATTAAAAAAAATTCCAAACCAAGCTTAATAAGTTCTCTGTACAACAAATCTCTGAACATCTCCTAGTTCCAGACAAATTGGAAAATGATACGCAAAAATGAAACTGGAGGATGCGGAGCGGGAAATTGTTGTACTTCATTGCTTTGTCTAAAAGACTATTGAAAAGTAAAGAAGCCGGTGGGGGTGTAGCTCATATGGTAGAGCGCTCGCTTCGCATGCGAGAGGCACGGGGTTCGATTCCCCGCACCTCCATATTTATTTTTTTAACTCATTTATGATTGTTGTGTGAGTTGATTGACAAACCGCTGAGACTGTCCTATCGCGTCCCCGCCCGTCCATTCAGTTCATCTATCTGTACTGACCACCTCTCATTCCTCATCTTCTACCACAAAACACCTACCCCTTCCCCAACATACACCCACAGAAATGGTGGAGAAACAGCATCAGCATCAAACTCCATTTCAGAGCCCACACACACCCAATTTTTCAACACCGTTCCAGCAAGAAAAGCAACCACTTTCTAGCTTCAACCACCTTCCAAAATCCCCATAACATTGTAATTCGTGACCTGGTGTAAAATTATGAGCTTAAACTTGTTATGCTCCTGCCTCCCTCTCCCTTCTTCCCACAAATTCCCCTGCTACTACTCTTCAACAAGCACCTGCCCCACCACTCTCTTCTACATCTTCTTCCACAATACCACAACAACAACAACAACTGCTACTGCTAGTAGTATTGCTAAAAAACAAGCCTTTTCTACATTTACAACTAAAGGGTCCGCCAATGAGTCAGCCCTTCCTGCAAATGGGAAGGTGCTGCTCTCTGAATTGTTGGATGAGGAACTGCTTAACTGGGTCTCTGCAGCTGAGGACGCAGCCCAAGTGTTGAATAGAATTGCTGAGAGAACTAATAGAAGCAGCGGGGTTGTGACTAGTTCAGATTGTTGTTTGATTATCTCTGCGGCCATTGATCGTGGCAATGCTAACTTGGCTCTTTCTGTTTTCTCTGCCATGCGCTCCAGCTTTGATACTTCAGGTCTCTCTCTCTCTCTCTCTCTGTTTCCTACTTTCTTGGGTTTCAGAAGAAAAGTATCTATCTTTTCCTTTACGAGCCAAGGCTTACAGTTGCACTGGTTAATCACTTGTTAGCATTCTGTGACGACCAATTCCAGTTCAGGATTCTTCTCAATCTTATGTATTCCTTGAGACTCTGTTTTAGATTGTTTATATAGTATCGTTTTTAACATTACGAAGGGGCATTCCCAAAACTTTGATTTGAGGTGCAGATATTGGTGAGAAAGGTCCTTCTGTTGAAAAATGGAAGTGGCCGAGGCCAGATGTAAATACTTACACTTTACTCATTCAAGGTCTTGCATCCTCGCTTAGGGTCTCAGATGCCCTCAGAATCATTACCAGTGTTTGCCGTGTTGGAGTATCGCCCAGTGAGGAGGTATAGATATATGGATCCTGTTACTCCTTTTGCCAAAATGTCATTGCTGATCTTTCTTCAATGCATCCTTATGTATTAGTCTACTACCACGTCAATCAAATCTGGATAGTCTTTATTTTTATGTCACCAAATGATCTGTCTCCTATCTGTTTCTCTTGGAATGGGGGAGTCTTGGGAAATCATGAAATTTAAAATGTAACTCGACATAATTAGTCAGCTAATTATCAGTTGTACTTGAAGCAGTGATTCTGGCATCTCAGATTCGAATACTTTTTTGAGCTAACAAACAGCACGTATGCTTCTAGGTCCCTTTTGGTAAAGTTGTCAGATGTCCAATTTGTACGGTCGCTGTTGCTGTCGCTCAACCACAACATGGTATTCAGGTACCCCCATTAGAACTGGATCAGATATTCAATCTTTCTCCCATTTGTCTTCATTGATGAAAAGAACTTGGATGCTGGCAGTATGTAGTGAATCTGGTGGAGATCGCTACTAGCACATTTTATAAAACAGTAGTGTGTTGGTTAATCAACTACAGATTAGTTGGTAGAAATTTGCGTGAGAAAAAAGGAAGAGACCAAATATCCCTTTTCTTTTTGGTTTTTGTTTTTACTACGTTGCATTCTTAGGAAGAAAAGAAAATTTTACCTTGAGTTTGAGATACAACATGAAGGGTGATAGATTTCAAATTTTTTCCAAGAGTTCAAAAATCCCTTTTTTATTTTCAACTGTGCAGATTGCTTCCTGTTCAAAGTGCCGCTACCAATACGAGCTTGTTTCAGGCACTATTTGCAGTATAGACTCTGAAGAAATTAGGTTGGTTATGATGTTTTCTTTTTTGTTTTTAATGAGTTTTTTTTGGTCAGTCAAACAGACATTTTGGTACATATTTACTTTCTTGATACCTAGAAAAGAGACTTGATGTCAATCACTCAATGGTTTTCTGATAATGTTGCGTTCTTTGTCATTGGGGACCTTTAGATGCTGACTTTGCAATAATTACAATTGCATGTATGCAAGTATGTGTTCGACATATCTGACATCCTTCATTTAACTTACCTTTTCTTTTTGCTTGGAATGTTGAGTAATTGTGTTTGATGTTGATCTTGGCATATTTACTTTTTCTAAGGATCTCCTACTGCCGAACGCAGCGTGGATGTTCCAGCATGGAAGAGGGGGCTAAGATTTTTGCAAATCGCAAAGCAGAACATTCCAGCTGCTGTTCATTCCGTTGTGGTACATTTCTTTTGAACTTAATTACATTTAAATTGTAGCATGAATTTGTAGTTTTTTCTTTTACTGCAAAAACTATTTACACACAAATATTTGAATCCTAATGAATTTCCATTGACATAAATGTTTTGGATCATTAGCACAATTTACCTCAGAAGACAAGTGAAGTATTATTTCGGTCATCTCATCAACAACTCCCGGACAACATAATGTTATTGCTTACCTAACAGAATATTTTGGCCTGGGACTGAGTAGCACTCCTTGTCATTTTATTCTCTTTACAGATGGAGACACCCTCTGGCATGGCACGGACACACAGGTTTGCTACTGAAACTGTTGATCTCCCTGCACAAGAAGGAGAAAGAGTGACCATTGCTGCAGCTGCTCCAACAACTGTCTACAGGGAGATTGGTCCATTGAAGTTAAGTCCAAAAGCCCCCAATTTCTTCCCTGGAGAACCTATGTGCCTGACAAACCATACCAATGGTCGAGAATCACCATTATTAAGGGCACCTGCAAAAGATAAGGGAACAACCTTAATGAATCCCTCTGTTCTCTTTCCTCTTCTTGCTGTGGTTGCCTCTGGAGATGCTGCCTCTGGGATCATAGACCCCAACTTGCCTCAGTTAATTTTGGTTGCTGCAGCTTCCTCGCTTGCCCTTGGAGCCACTGTGAATAGCCTGGTTTTTCCTCAGTTAAGCAAGGCAAGTACATTACTGAGTGTGTGATTGCATCTAATGTCCATTACTTGCCATGTATTGAAAGATGAACTTATGACATGGCTATTTCTAATATGCTACACGAAAACACTTGAATATATTAATGTCTTGCCATCAACCAATTGGCCTAGTGGTAGAGTGATAGACTCTTGATTCTAGAAACCATGGTTCAATACCTGGTCGCATCATATCAGAAGTATTTATGTCATTGTGAAAATTTGTAGGTTCGTATCTATGATAATACCACTAGTTTCTTTTAATCTTTGCTTCAATGCCTCTCTCTCTCAAAAGACTTTCTCATTCCCTATAATCATTCCTTTCACGAGTAAGTTCAAGGACTTTGTAGTAATTTTTTTCTATTATGCTTCTTCTTCTTCTTAATCTATTCTCCTTTTTGGTCCAACCTATTTTAACTATCCTGAGAAGTCGTAATCTAAATCTGATTAATTATCTGTAAGAAAATTAATGATACTTGTTATTTGATGTTTAACATTTCTTGTTTGGCCAGCTTCCTCAAAGATTAGTGGACACAATTGCTATCAAGCAGCAACTGCTATCTCAGTATGATGTACTGCAATCTCGAATCAAGGAGTTGAAGCAAGGTGCTGAAAACGAGGTATTTGCCTTTTTACTTGTTTGTATGCATAATGCAATTCAAGTTCATTCCCATTGCCCTTTCCTTTGATGAAGATAATACTGGCTTTATAGATTAACTACTGTGATTTTACAATTCTGACTTGAAATTTGGAAAAAACTTTTACTTTCTGATCATTGTGAGAGGACCAATTAGACCTTTCACCAGAGCACTGTGCAGCTGTCAAAAACTTTTTAAGTTTTTGAAGATAACAAGAAAAGTTAAGCAGAAAAAGTGGATTAGACATAAGAATGTCATTAATATGCTTCCATAAAATTGGATGATCCAACTTATTTTAATCAGATTTCCTTCTATGCATTTTACAAGCGTGTGACTCTGCTGATGAGCAAGACATTGATTTTTTGCTATCTGCTACTTTTCTGATTTGTTTCTTTTTTTTGGGATGGTCTATTTATAGGTTTGGATGTTGGCTCGCATGTGCCAATTGCAGAACAAAATTTTTGCTGTTGGGGAACCTTCCTATAGGTAAATCATTAACATCAGCTGAAACCAGATTATATTTGAGCTACTACGGTAGAAGGCCTCCTTGTTTCTTTTTTTCAAGTGTTAATGAAATTTTGTCTTCGTCTCCAGAGCACGAAGAAGTAGAGTCAAAAGGGTTCGTGAAGGACTGGAGGTTTCCCTTAAGAAAAGGATTGAATTGATTGAGAGCTATGCTAGAGTAGGTTACTTCTACAAGAAATCTCATAGCATGATATAAAATAGTGGTCTCTTTGCTGCAGAGTGAGATAGCATCTAAGTATCATATGACATTATGTAATGGTGTTGTACATTTACAGATCTCATCAATGATAGAGATTGAGGTAGAGATGGATTCTGATGTTCTTGCTGCGGAAGCAGCAACCAATGCGGTATGCACACTTGAAAGAAGTTTCTCCACCACTTTTTTAAGTCCAAACGCATGCAAGCTTCATTTCTCTTTGTTCTTGAATCATTAATTTCCGTCGTAGTGTAGTATTACTTGTATGAACTTCCTGTTGTTGTGTGAGGCTTATTGGGTGTTATTTTCTCTTTGCAGGAAAATATTACTGAACAGATACTGCAAATAATGGAGATTGAAAATCTTGAAGAGGCATGTTTTATTACTATGAAGCATATAATCTGGATGCTGTATACATGATCTTTTAGACATACACTGTATCAAAACTATTCGGTATAACTAAAATGGGCAATTTAAGTAGGGACTCCTGATGCTGTATATCTCTGCAGTTTCAGTTACATAGAGTGACATCAAAACAGCAATATGAGATACTAATTTATTTCGTATGAGAGTCTAAATTATCTATGCTTGCAGAAATGGAGACTCCAGGCAGAGGCAAACGATGAGGCGGAAAGACTTCTTAGTACTGAACCCACATCTGCAGAACAGGTTCTAGACAGATAACGGCCGACATTTTCTAGCCAGGTACTCTGATTATTATATGGTTGCACATCCACTTCCCCATACTTGGCATGCAATAGACTGCTTTAGATGGAATTTGGTATCAGGTCCATTCCTGTTTACGATGGCTGATGCATTACAAGCATTCTCCTATGGCACCAAGTAGAGCATGATCATGTGGAATGAAAGTGATGGCATCTCAAACCAATTGTTTACACTCGCTAAAGGCTGCGGGCTTCATTGCCCAATGCAGACTAGTTCTAAGGAATTGCAAAGCAGTTGTATCCTCTATAAATTCAAATAGCATTCTTTCCGGTTCCTGTGGACAAGGAGTAGAATCTTGATCCTACCCTCGTTCTCCTACATCAACCTTTTTGTTTTCCAAACTATTTCCAAATGGTGTCAAGATTTAGGTTGGATGACTAGATTGAGTGGCTTTGGGCTTCTCTTTCAGTCAAACTTGTTTATTCAAGTGATGATTTCTTCCATGCGGGCGTTTATTACTCTTATCAAAGGTATTCTGTAAGTCGCAGGGTGTGAAGGTCAAAACCAATGTTTTGAAAACCGGACCGGACCGGCCGGTTCGACCGGTTGAACCGCGAACCGGCCATGGCACCGGTCCGGTTCTATGCTCTGGTTGACTTTGCCAGAGAACCGGTCAAACCCGGTAAAAACCGGGAAAACCGGTGAACCATGTTGAACCGGATCGAACCGGTTTTTGAGTTTTCCTTTTTTTTTTTTTTTTAAACTTTTTGCAAAATGCTTCTATCAAGATTTGAACTCAAAACCTTTGTAATAGAAGACCAATGTAGTAACCATTGCACCATCACATCTTATTTGCTTTTTTTGATAACTTATTTATATAAAACAAACATCTATATTTCATTTTTCCATTTTTCTTACAAAATCTCATCCTCTCATGACTCTTTCTTTTTAATCTTCAACTCTTTCTTTTCTCCCTCATCTTTTCTTTTGTCACTCCATTTTTAATCAAACCTCATTAGTTCTAATTTATTGATGTTTTCTTCTATCTTTTAATTTTGTTTTTGCCCATTAAATTGGAAAAAGTTAAAAAAGAATTATTTTTCTTTAACCCAAATTATTTAATGCCACAACCACTCACTTTTATCTCATTTTTTGTTTCTTATCAAGTTTGCATTTCTATTTTCAATTCTCTTAACTTCTTTCGAACTCCAAACTTTCTTTTTTAAATTACAATCTTTAAATCTTAAAGACGTAAATTAAAATTTAAGTTCACAATATCAAATTCTCATAGACGTGAATTTGTATAATTTCAAAATATTGTGATATTTTTGGGTTGGATTTAAGATTTTTTTGATAGATATAATTGAAATTGAGATGAAATTTATTTATTTTAACTTATAATTTAAATAATTTATTTTTGAAAATCCAAATTATTCAAAAATAGTGAACTTTTCATCATATAAAGTTTTAAATTAGTCCATTGCATGTCTTATTTTGTGCATATATATATTTATATAAATTATTTTTAAAAAAATTCATTGAATCGAGGTTGAACCGGTCCGACCGGTTGAACCTCGACCCTTTCACCTCACCGGTTCAATTGACGGTCCGGGTTTTAAAACATTGGTCAAAACAGGTGGGACGGTATTTTCCTGAAGGAATCCTTCAACTTTTTGGTGGTACTTCATTCTGCTTTTTGAGCAACTTGTCTGATGCTTGCCACGTTGGAGTTATAGGTGTCAAATGGGTAATGATAAGATGACCAGGATATATGCCTGACATTTGAGTTGTCAGTTGCTCCAACTAACTAACTAATGTAGTTCAAGCTCATTCGGTGATTGTGGGGCCTGATTCTTGGACGAGTCGGTTTGTAAAACTAACATGGGGCATGTTTTGGGCCACAATAATTGGAAAGGACAAGGATTCTACACTGTACAAGAATAGAATAATTGACATTAAACACTAGAATTTTAGGCGGGTGAGATGGAAATTGGCATTTCTGATTTTTTTTTAAAGACTAGCAGCAGCTTACAATAATTAGAGTTTTTTTTCCTCCAAGATAATACTAGTACTCTATTCAGAAAAAATTCCCAAATGATTCAAGCCCAAGTTTTATTTTCACAATAATTAATATTGCTTTTTGGCCCATATGAAATGGTAGCCTTAGCTCTACAATAGATGTGTGCTGTGCCTATAGACTTGCTGGAGCTCTGGTCCACTAGCTAAAAAATATTTTGACGAATTGGGGTTCGCCATTTTGAGCCTATGACTCTTGTGAAAGTGCAAGTACACCGTCAATCATTTCAAAATAAGGGTATTTGACAATTGGGTTCACCATTTTCAGTTCATCAACATTTGTGATCCTTTAACCAGGCAAGTGATAATTGGGTTCACCTTTTTCCATCCATCAAGTTTGTAAATACAAGTAAAGGTGGGCTAATATTTTTTTTTATCAGCAACGTTACATTTGTATAACATATTCTATCCTAATCTAGGGGGGAGGGGAACTTTAGGAGGCTGTGATAGGGGGCTAGTGGATATACAGACTCAACTAAATCAAGGGAATGTTCTGACACAACTCTTAAATTTTTTTCGTTGCAGGTGAGGTTTGAACTCTCACCTACAGTCCAAGGAGAGACTTAAGCCCCTCCCTGGTGGTTACTGAGCTATTGGTCCAGTGGTTAAAGGTGGGCTAATATGATACTCCACTTTTGTTGCAGTGGTCCTCTCGTCTTGGCGTGAGTCCTTTGGCAACTGGTTTAGCATGCTTCAAATGGCGATTTATTGGCGCCATCATGCGGAAGGAGGAATATGAAATTTAATACACTGAACTCTTAAAGGCGGCCCTTCCTGGGTAGCTCAGCCGGTGACCACGTGCGGTAGTATCCCGTAGGTCACCGGTTCGAGTCCCAGTAACGAAAATGGGGTAACCCAACAATCCGAATAAGGGTTGGGGCCTGAAGTGGGGCCAGGTCCTTTTTTTTGACAAAAAAAAAAAAAAAAACTCTTAAAGGCGGAAAAGTGGGTGGTCATAAAAAAAGAAAAGTAAGTATAAATTTTGTGGACTCTATGACCGTGCCTTTATCCTAAAGTCACCATCCACCCACGCCCCTTCTCTCTCTCTCTCATTCCTTTTCCGTTCCTTTCATAAATTTATGCAATCCCTACTTTATTCCTTATTCTGTGCTTGGCTCTGATTCGAGTATCAAAACTTTCCGCATCTACAAACTCTTGTGACATAGCAAGCAAGGAAAGTAGAGAATAAATCTCTACCACTTTACAAGTTTCGTGCAATGGCAAAATCCCACTGTTAAAATAGAATGAAGCCATCATTAAATCTTCATTGATACTATTGTTTCATAAATTGCTTCAAACTTATCGCCCCAAAACTTTACAATCAAAAGAAAACTGACCGTACCATTGAAGTTGGGTGCAGATTTAATTGTTCGTTCATAGAGTCAAATTTAAACTAGTATGTAGTTCTTATTAAGTCGAGAGTTGTTTGAATCTTTTACATGTTTTGCTCAGTCAGTAGAAAAAAGCCTTGCATGTAAATTTTTAATTTTTATGCTAATCAAATTAAAATGAAACTGAATTTCAAAGTTTCCTAAATAAGAACTTGACTAAATTAAAGAAGAAGTGTTCTGATCCTTCCTTCCTTTTGAAGTTTGAATCTCGAATTCGGAGTCCAAAATTATTTTAGATATGCAAACCTGATTAGACTAGACTAAGAAGGAAGGCGTGATTATTAGTTCCCTCGGTGGCCTCAAGAGTTGCCAACTTTTGAGGTTTACCTGGGATTAAGGGTTAGTAATTTAATTCTGATTTCTGAGTATCATGGGGGTTAGTACACCTTTAGTAGCAGTGGCCTTACTGGCCTTTCCAAAAATCCCACATCGATCATTGGGGGGGTTTGGGGTTAGATTATTAGTTTCTTGGGTGGCCTCAAGAGTTGCCGGCTTTTGAGATTTACCCGGAATTAAGGGTTAGTGATTTAATTCTGATTTCTTATGTTGAAAGAAAAAGAAAGTATGGGGAGGTTTTTGAGTGTCATGGGGGGTTAGTACACCTTTAGTAGCAGTGGGCCAGTGGCCTTACTGGCCTTTCCAAAAATCCCACATCGATCATTGGAGGGGGTTTGGGGTTAGATTATTTAGTTTTCTGAGTGGCCTTAAGAGTTGCCGATTTTTTAGGTTTATCTGAAATTAAGGGTTAGTGATTTAATTCTGAGGAAGACGTGCCTGACACTTTTTGGTGGCGACCGCGGTTTCGCTCAGTGGTTTTTGACGTCTACATCGAGAGATGAATAAAGTAGCGCATGGTACAATTAAGTCAGTTCACGGACGGGGATGGTGACAAACACGCGCGCACACACAGTTGGAGTCTGGGGACGAAGCCAGGGCAGGTCAAGAAGTCTTCGAGATGGGTCCGTTGCCGTCATACCCTCTGTTTCTAGTCATCCATGCCAACTTCCCGCCCATCCGGCCGCCCAACCCGCCCCACAGCCCGTTCCATCACCACCGCACCTAAAACCGACATTTTTTGATTCGGGATGCATCGGGATTCGGGACCTCCTTAAATGGACGAATAATCGTCCCCCCACGTGGCACGTGAACCCCAGCTCTCCCCTTCCTTCCCTGCGCTCCAACTCCTTTTTCTTTTGGCCTTTTCCCCAGTGCTATAAATATAAAAGAATTAAATCATAATTCTATGTGTCACCAGATTCTTGAATTTAGCCTTCTTATTCGCTTCACCAAAAACTTTTCAGCCGTCCCACAACAAAACCCCAAATCTTTTCAAGCAGCAGTGAAATCTTTTCTCCTGCCAAGCTCAACTTACCTACGACAGACGTATATACTACGACTACTAGCCTGCTACGAATTGTTTTTCCCTGGTCCTCACAATTATACTACTTTATATTTGCGTGCTGTGCATATATGCGGGGAACGTCCATATTGATTCCTGGGACATTCCTTCTTCCCATTGTTCCTATATATATTCTGAAGTCTCATTTTTTTCTGCTAGACTGGCAGAGAAAGGAGTACAGATAGTTTTGTATACTGGTTAGGGTCGGGCAAAAGATTGAGCGGAAAAACGATGCCGGAGAAGATGAATATATTGGTGACGGGAGGGGCAGGGTATATAGGAAGCCATACAGTTCTTCAATTGCTGTTGGGAGGGTACAAGACTGTTGTGGTTGATAATTTGGACAATTCTTCCGATGTTGCCCTCAAGAGGGTCCGAGAACTCGCCGGTGAACATGGCTCCAACCTCACCTTTCATAAGGTTGGCTCCTTTTTCTTTTTTTTTTGGTTTATATTTCTAAGACTAAGATTAGTACTCTTGATTGTTGTCCAATTGTACTGGGTTCTGAATTTTCATAAAGTTTTGGGCTTTGTCGAAATTTGCCACTCGAGGATGCTAGCGGGCATTTATGTGATTTTCAAGCTTTTGGGCTTCTGCTTTCTGGCATAAAGTTATTTTTGTGGGGAATTTAGTGGAAATGAAAAACAGGAATATTATGAGTTTAGAATGGCATGTTTAACGTTGCAACACGCTAACATGCTGAGGTGATTGCTGCTTTAGGTCGTTAGGTTAGAAAAATGGAGAAAGGGTGGGTAGAATTTCAAGTTGGTTTAGGCGTTCAGGATACTGGTGAAGTTAAGCTGCTATATCAGTGTAGTTCTCTATGTTGTATTGTGTTAAAAGCTGTTCGATTCGTGCAAATAAATTCTGTTTAAATCTGATAATTCCTTTGGGTTTCAAGAGGATGGTTCTGTTTAACACTTGTTATTGCTGGTTGTTACTCCATCTGTTCATTTGGATGACACTAATTGCTGTATCTTTATTTTGACTGCAGATGGATCTTCGTGACAAGGTTGCACTTGAAAATCTTTTTGCTTCTGAAAAGTAAGTTCCACCAAATTCTCGCCTTTTATATTCACAATTAATCCAGTACTATTTTTTTCCCCTTTCTTCCCATTGAAGCCTGAAGTAAGTTGCTTTGAGCATGTTCTTTGCATTTTAAAGTTCATAAATTTGGTTTGTGAAGGTTAAACCATGCAGCTGAGTGTGTATTGTGTCTGATATTTCAAATTTTAATCCAGGTTTGATGCAGTAATCCATTTTGCTGGACTGAAAGCAGTAGGTGAAAGTGTGCAAAAACCGTTGATGTACTATAACAACAATCTTGTCGGTACAATTACCCTACTAGAAGTCATGGCTGCTCATGGATGTAAAAAGGTTCATCTCGTTACTAGTTTGATATGAGGAGTGTGAAGTAAAATATTGCATTATTCCAGAACTTATATGATGGAGGATAAATTATACTCGAAGAGTCTTGATACTACTATTTCTGGCATTCTATTATTACATTAGCTGATGGTTCAAACCACTCCACCTCATCTGATTTTTTTCTTCCGTAAATATTTCAGCTTGTGTTTTCATCATCGGCTACTGTTTATGGTTGGCCAAAGGAGGTCCCTTGCACTGAGGAATTTCCCTTATGTGCTGTCAATCCATATGGACGAACCAAGGTATTATCTATTCTGGGATCATGCATAAGCTTTTACTTGCATGTTGGAAACCAAATGATGCACATATCTGGATTAAGAGATGTGCAGCTTTTTCTCATGTCAAGTGGGGAAATCATGTCATGTGCATGTACTTCTTCCCTCTGCTCCATTCTGTGGTAGCAGGGAAGCTTTTCTTCCCCAACCCCCCTCGCCTTGGAAACCATGTTGATAAAGTTGATCTCTGCAGCTTTTTATTGAAGAAATCTGTCGTGATGTGTATGGTTCAGACTCTGAATGGAAAATCATATTGCTGCGGTACTTCAATCCAGTTGGTGCACATCCTAGTGGTTATATTGGTGAAGATCCACGTGGAATTCCAAACAATCTCATGCCTTTTGTGCAACAAGTAGCTGTTGGTAGGAGACCTGCTCTGACAGTTTTTGGAACTGATTACTCAACGAAGGATGGTACTGGGGTACGTACGCATCATTAGTACTAAAGTTCCATTTTCTTGGAATAGTATGCATGCACGCGGCATATATGTAGGTTTCCATGTCCAAGAGCTGTTTCAAATATGTAATTCTGTTATCTGCCAGTATGGTATCTATTTGCCTTGGCCTCTCATCATTTGACAAAGAGAACAAAGTCGCTACAGTTTTTTTTTTCTCTTTATCTGGTTATTTCTGAACAGATTCTAGTATACCAACTTTTGAGCTTCCTGTCATTTTGAGTTTTCTGCAAAACAGTTTCAAATTTTGCTGGCCATTCTTTTGTGGATGCACTCTGTAATCTGTATTATTGCCTCTGGAACTGAGGAACATCATTAGAAGTGATACCTGCTTTTATTTTGTTTCGTATATTGATGCTTTCTACATAATTACTTTTCAGGTGCGTGACTACATCCATGTTGTGGACTTAGCAGATGGTCATATAGCAGCAGTTAATAAGCTGTCTGATCCTTCTATAGGTATGTAGGTGATTCACTGCTCCTGTTCCAATTTTATGCCAATTGGTTCATTTGAAAAGATCGCTGTAATTTTTGAATCGTATCTAATTCACGGCTTTTGACCAAGCCTGTTGGAGATCGATGTGTATGTTCTTCAATGAGGAAAGGGATATTCTGGATGGGTGGCTTGCATTTTGTTTCATAGGGAGGAATGTTTGCGGAATCATTATATTAGCTTCTTATAACTCTTATGATTGCCCAACTTCAGGGTGCGAAGTGTTCAACTTGGGAACTGGGAAAGGAACTTCTGTCTTGGAAATGGTAGCAGCATTTGAGAAGGCATCAAGAAAGGTATTAAATCCTATTATGTACAATTTATCACATTTGTCCTTTGCTTCAGTTGTCTGGACTTTCCTTTTGTTTCATTATAGTTGTAAATTCTGATCCGCTGTCATTTTCTTAAACCTAAATTCCTTACTCGATGCCTTCTGCTTATCCGATTGAGCCAAGGTTTGTTGTTGCTAGGACAACAATAAGAACCAGTGCCTTCTGTTGCTAGACTTGTTTAGTATTTTTAGGCAGAGGATAACAAGTGTCAGCCGCTTGTGGAGGGTGAGACTTGAGAGTTAGAGTGAAGAGTTGGAAAAAAAAAAACTAACCTCTCCCCAAACACCCAAAAACTGACGTTCAGTTAAGCCCGATTTTTGAGTCAGGGGACAACTATTTTGCTGCTTTCTTCCGTCGTGAACCGATGATTTTTTTTGTGATTGCTTCATCCCCCATTTTTTTAAATGGATGTACAATCGAAGACAACCACATATTAATGCAGTTTTTTTTTTGGTGAAGATAAAGGAAACTCTCATGGATGGTTTCTCAAATTTTGACTCTATTTAATTTTATCTTCTGTTTCTATAGAAAATTCCACTGGTGAAAGCTGGTCGCCGGGCGGGTGATGCAGAGATTGTATATGGATCCACAGATAAAGCAGAACATGAATTGAACTGGAAGTAAGTATTCATGTGATTTATATGTGGAAAAAAGAAGCTCATTTGATAATTGCGTGCTATCCTTGATTACGTACTAAAAGAAAGCCTCAAAAAGAGGAGAGGATACTGAGGGGTAATGTCATTTTGAATGTATAGCATGCGTTTCAGGCATTTTGAACATAATTGATTTTTGCAGGGCAAAATATGGCATAGAGGAGATGTGCCGAGACCAGTGGAACTGGGCTAGCAAGAATCCTTATGGCTACGGACCACCTGATTCTACCGATTGATTGGATTCTGACATTACACCCTAGAGTCACCATTTGAAGAGCTGTTTGCTACAGAGTCCAAATGCGTGTCGGTAGGAGTTTGTAGAGCTGTCCGTTTTTTTCTGGTTTTCTTTCTTTTTGAGTCCTTTGTAGGTTGGGTAGGCAGATGAGGTAGGATTGCAGTTTAACAATAATAATGATACCAGGGATGTCACATGCATGTAATTCTAACATGGCTCACTGCTGCTGAATATATGATGAACCTTATCTTTTACAAACAAATGTTCAATAAAAGGTGATCAGATGAGATGATCCGAGTAGTTTCTTTGTGACATTTTTTTGATACCTCGTGTGCTATAACAATGGATGTACTTGAATAGTTCATGCTGTCAGTTCCGCAACAATCATGATGACCATTTTCGGGTCCATTCCGTCACTCGCATTGTCCTGATTGGCCTGCACGGACAGATTGATGGAGTTGCTCCTAATTAAAAATGATGCTAGTGTACCATAACGAATTTTGGAACTGAGCAAGTGTGCCGCATGTTATTGACTTCTGATTGGTCTTCTTTTCGCTTTTTTAAATTGCTGGAAAAAAAGCCAGACATTTTTTTGTCATGAGTCGGTGCAATGCTCCCTGAAGTCGAAATGAAACTCATTTCCCGTCCTGGAACTCACCGACCAAACGCCTATTTAAAATAAATTTACTTGGTCATCTACTGGGGGACCAAAAAAAAAAAAAAAGGGAAAAAGTACTTTAATAATAATTATATGATTAGCACTGCAATCGGATCATCAATTTCGAACAGCTAACAGCAACACCCCACCATCATCAATGTCGAACAAGCTAACAGCAACTGCCACCCACCGCCACCATAAATGAGTCATGGAAGCGAGCAAGGTAGGTATATTCGAAGAGTCTTCAAATCAAACCAAACTCCGCAAGCTTTGAGCTCCTCCGATCCATCTCCTCTGAAATCTCATTTCTCCGTGATCTTCCAGGTACATTGCCTCTCATAATTCTTCTATCTTTTATACGGCCCGAGATCTTTGCTTCTTTATTCTGCCAAACTCGGTCTCAACTTCTTCTCTTCCGTTTTTTTTTTTCCTAATTTTATTACCAATCATTTGGTCAAAAGAATTTGCATAATTTCATTGTTTTTGTGTGCGCTTATGGGTATTTTTTTTCCCAGTTGCTTTTTTCGTTGCATTCAGACCGAGCGAAAGTGTTTTCTAAGTGCTCGGTATGCATGATTGAAAACTTTGGCGTTTAGGAATCTAGAAGCAGCATAAGCCACATTATAAAACTCAGAGATATCAAAGTTTGTTAACATCAATAATATTTTCTAAGGCTCATACATTGTAGTTATGATGCGTTGGATTTTTCTGTGTGGAAATGGAATTATTAGATCTCCATGGGCTCTTCGACGACTTAAAAAGAAATATTTTTTTTGCGTCTTCAGTGGCATAGAGGTGATGCGAAGAGGCTGACCTTTTTTAAAACCAATTTATAGTACAGAAGTTTCTGGTCACTGATGCTCCATGTAGGAAGAGAAAATGAAAAAGAAAAAGTTTTTAGAGACGGAGAACAATTTAAATTTCTCTTTCTGACTCTGCTTTTGCATAACCTCAATTATTAATTCAGGAGACATTTTTTGCTTTGTATTTTTTATGCAGTGTACATGGGGGTTTGTCGGAGCTTTCACAGGTTTATTATGTGTTTTGCAGGTATCGTTTGATATTCTATTAGCCAACATTTCATGGATAGAGGTACGTTGTTGAAATCGACTAATCCATGTTGATGGACATGAACTTGATCTGCATTGTAGCTCATTGTTCACTTGAATGTTGCAGATTCAGGAGAACAACTAAGGAGAGAGATGGTAATGGCATCAGAAAGGGAGAATTTTGAGCTTTCAGGACCATTGCACCTATCTAGTATGGACTGGTATGACTTCTGCTCTGTCGCGCTTTCTAGTACATATTTTCACAAGAATTTGACATTTTGCATGCATAAATTGTAGGGATGCGTGCCAAATTCCCATTTGCTTGATAAATTCTTAAGCCATACATTGATGATATTAACTCAGAGATGATAGCAGTGCCAACATCTGATATATCTATTTTTTTTCTTTACTGCAAATTTTGTAGTAGTTTCTATTCTATCCAAGAAAAATTGGATTTTGAAAGTAAGCTCTGTAGATGACAACAATGATCAATCACTACCAGGCAGGTTCCGTTCTAATGCATGGAAAATAAACAAGACTTGCAATCCCTTAGAGTTACTGCTTACGATGCTGTTAGGATGGAGGTAGTCATTTGCAATATATTTTGGTATCTAAGATGGTATTAGTAAAGTCATTGCAATAAAGTCATCAGTTTTAGTTTCTACAATCAATCATGGTTGATGATTTTGTTTACTGGTTGCCCTTTATGCATAGTATGCTTGTTTGATAACTCCGATGCAAGATAAGTTCCCTTCTATCCACTTATCTTCTCCTGTTATTGTTCTCCAAAATCTTTGTTTTTCATACTCAAGAACTGTTGGTAAAACCAAGAGCGCTTCTTAGACATAGACTTGCAACTTTTTCATGACGAAAAAGAGAGAATTTTTTTCTTTATATTGGTTTCAGCTTAGGATCCTTGCTGACGTAAACTTTAATGTTATAGTTTCTGCTAAGAGAATTGTAATCAAACTCTTCTTTGAGCAGGAAGAGTACAGATTATCGAAGATCTGTTGCAGCTTGTTTGGTACAGGGTGTCTACATTCTGGAACGCGATCGCCAGGAAAAGCGGCAGGGAAGTGAAGCACTTGCTCCTCCATGGTGGAATTTCTTCCATTTTCAATTACGCACTCCGCTTGTTGATGAGGCTGATTCATCTACCTTTGGTGCCATCTATGAATTGAAACACCCAATGCCTCATGATAAAAGTTCAGTTAATGACAGCCCACGTTATGTTATTGCTTTTCGAGGTACATTAACCAAGGGTGATGCATTCTCCCGGGACCTCCAATTGAATGTCCACTTAGTCCGGAATGACCTCCACCAGACGTCTCGATTTGAAATAGCCATTCAAGCTGTTCGGAGCATTGTTGCAACATATGGAAGTTCAAATATTTGGCTAGCTGGGCACTCTCTGGGATCTGCCTTGGCATTGCTTGTTGGAAAGAGTATGGCAAAAACAGGAGTCTTACTTGAAGCTTTTCTGTTTAATCCACCATTTGTTTCAGCTCCAATTGAGAGAATAAAGGACAAAAAAGTCAAACATGGGCTTCGAATTGCAAGTAGTGTCGTAACCGCTGGACTTGCTTTTGCTATGAAAAATAGCCACCGGAAGAATCAAACAGGAGATACATTTGTTGCATTGTCAGAATGGATGCCATGCCTATTTGTTAATCCAGCGGATCACGTATGCTCTGAGTATATTGGGTATTTTGAACACAGGAAAAACATGGACGAGATTGGTGTTGGACTAATTGAGAAATTGGCAACCCAGCACTCACTTGGGGGTCTCGTTATGACCGCAATGGGCAAGGAGGCAGAAGAGCCCCTACACCTTATTCCTACTGCGAAATTAACAGTTAATTTATCTCCCTCGCAAGAATTCAAAGAAGCCCACGGAATACACCAATGGTGGAGGTCTGATCTGCTCTTAGAATTGAAAACTTACAAGTACTGATGGTTGTTATGTTGTACAGGTATTGACAATTTATTATAGAATTATGCTGTACAGGAATTGTCACATAATTCCTGATTTATATTATAAATGTAATACCAGGATCGATGCTAAAATGATTATGGGTGTAGTCCGCTGGAGTTTATTGTGGAATTATGAGGTGAGATGGATCAAGCGTGATCTTCATTTTCACTATTCTGAGCTTTTTATGCAACCTGACGTGCAGTATTTGAAACTCGAAGCACTCAGTAGTAAGCACATATGCACAGTTTGATCAGGTTTGTTAGTACAAGCATTCTGCAGAAAACCCAGAAATCCACTCATACCTGAAATTTTAGGTTGGCTTCAATGATTGTTGATGGAGTTTGTGATACTTTTTGGGCTGGTTGGATTTTTGGTTTGTTGAAAAATTCGGCTCATGTTCAAGTTTGACTCTTTTGGCTTGTGTAGTATATGCTAATGTACAGCTTCAACCATGGCAATTACGCCAGACAGCTACCACTTAAAATGGAAATGGACGACCTGAAGAGCCCGGGAGCTGCTTTGGCTAATCAGTGCTAATCTTAACTATACGTCCTCGAGTTTGATGTCTTGAATCTTGAGGATGCTATTAAGCGCTAGTGGGACAGGGATGAAATTTGACGTATGAAAAGTGAATTTCTGTTAAATTCTTAGCTGCCTGCCTTATTCATTTTTTAGGTCCCAAGGAGCAAAGCACGGGAACATTCAAAAGAAACGGTAGTATTCTTCTTGTGCCATTTGTGTTGTGGTTTCTTCCAAGTTCAGATTTACAGTAAGGCTCTTTTCTCTGCCATGAATATGATAAAGCTCTTTCTTTTCTGCTCAATTCTTTAAAATACATTCCATAATTCTGGACGACAATGGCATAGCCATATTTGTCGTTGTAAAGGGTCAATACATTCCACGTTTTCTGCATCAGACATTACTCTGTTATTGCCATTTGCAGACAAATTAGTCCTAAACAAAGCTTTTGTCCTAAACAAAAGTTAAGACTTTAATCAGTCCTTTAACACTAGCCAATCATCCTGAACAAAGACCCCGTTCTCTCCTGCGGGCTCCAGGAAATCAGGGAATTAGAAAAAGACAGGAGTAAAGTCAAAGAAATTAAGCACTCCAACCACAACAATAGCTTTTCCTCAATCCCTAGAAAGTTAAAAATGGGCCGTCCTCCTCCCGACTCCGATCCCAATCCCAATCCCTGCTGTTGCTGCAATCACAGTCACTTGCACCGAAGCCGGCAACCGTCCCGTCCCCTCTTTTGAAAAAGTCGTATTTGATCATTGGATTAAAAATTCAGAACGCATAAATGTAAACAATTACCGTGATGTGATGCTTTAGTCTTTAATATCTCTATTACAAATTTGTTACTACAATAATTCACAAAATGACTTGCAACTTATTATAAATATTATGCACCATTCAAAAATAATTATACTAACTCGTAGAATATATTTTTTAAATAAGAACTTTTGAAAGCTATTCCAAAGGGCATATTCTTAACGAGTATATATGTCCCAAATTCCATTTACTAACAAAATTTTTTTTAAAAAAAAAAAGAAAAAGGAACAAAGCTCAAATTGGTCATCAATTGCCCATAAGTAAAAATCCACATTCTACACTTCTTTCAGAAAAAGTTTAATCACCCAGACCACTTCTTAGATTACTAACTATTAACTAACAGTGGAATCCTAATACAGATCCATCACTTACGGAAATGGCCACCCTGCATTCAGCGCTAGCGTCCACGTGATGGCTAAAGAAATGCAACACCCGAACCCGGCCCGCCATCTCTAACCTGGACTCGATCTCCATCGTGGGCCCGACTCGAAACCCACTAAGCCCATCAGTAACAGTAGGCCCCACATTGAGCGGCTGGTTAACGGACAACGGGAAGGACTGAACGGAAAAGGTCGCGGCCATGTACTGGCTCTTGCCCGCGGCGATCTTTCCGGCGGGGATGAACATGAAGCCCACTTGACTTCCGGCGTAGAGGAGCTGGAGGGAGCTGTCGTAGTGGGTAAAGACGGCCCTGTTGGGGTTGAGAACGGTGACGTATTGCGAGAAGGTGAAGTTAACAGTGCCGTTAGCCACGGAGAAGGTGGGCAGCTGGATGGCGTTGACCGTGAGGTTAACGTCCTTGGGTTTGAAAACGGTGAAGTAAACAATGAGGACGACTATGACAACGAAAATCAAGAAAACGGTTGCCACTATGCATGAAGCCAAGTTTGTTCGACCGCTCGGAGGTTTAGGTGGCTTATGTTTCCCCATTTTCTATGTATGTTTATTATACGGAGAGATCTCACAATGCCTTGAAAAAAAGTGTTAGGTGTGGCTGTGCGAGATGATAACGGTTGTATTGCTTGCTTGCTTGCGGCCTGTACTCTGCAGTGTTAGTGTAATGATGGATGGAGCGTCTGGCAACGGGGACCCGACCGAGGGTGTGAAAAGAAAGACTTTTTTTTGGTTTGCTTTGTTTGTTGTACTACCAATTTTTTGTCCCAGTAAATGATGATCATGGTACTATGTCCCATTTCCCTTGATTCATGTGGATCCATTCGAGTCAAGATCAGCTTTGCCTGGACTTGGGGGTTACGACACTGTGCTTTGAATCACGAGAGACCATTTAACTCAGGCCCAAGGCAGGCTTATCCGGGGCATTGGGCTCGTTGCTCATATTCGTAGCAGTAATACAGTACCCTGCATTTGAAGAGATCTCACACACAGAGTAGTGTTGACCGAAGATTAGAGTCCATCCTGTTGGGTGTTTATGTTTTCAAATTAGAGATTTGATGTGTCTTCAGACCTGAAATGCGAATCCAAATCAAGAGCTGTTTTTCAAGGTATTAGAGGAAATATATTAGGAGAGACACCAATTTCCAACTAAAGTTCTGCATTGAGAAATTCTGATTATTTTGGATTGCTGGTTGAGCTCTTGCTTTTCGTTCAGTCAAGCATGCTGCTTGTTAGGGATTTTTGTATGTTGCCGTGAGCAAAGTGTTGGCTTGCATTACACAAGTATTCCTACAACAGCTTACTAGGAAGTGAGAACCATACTTCAGAACAGCTTACTAGGAAGTGAGAACCATACTTCAGAAGTCAGAAAAATATTTCCATGGGCTGGCTCATCGGTAAATAGTAGGAGTATCAACAAAGTCTCAACTTTCTCCCACATATTCTAAAAGCCCTTTGAGTTGAGCGGACAAGATAGAGGCCATTCACGACTGGTACCATTGAAGCCAAAAACCCCATGAAATAGAAGTGCTCAAGTGAAAACACGTCTTACAAGGAGAACATATTAACATTCATGCAGCAGAACTAAGACATAAACAAGGATTGAATGCTGCAAGACTGACTGTAGCAAATGTTACTAGCAATTGCCAGTTCACCTTAAAACCACCTAGGATCCTCAGATCCTGTTTACACTAAACATTTAATAGAGAAGCCAACTACAAGGCAAAATAGTACCCTTTTTATGAAATAATTAAATAATTATGGATGTTTATCACATTTATTCCTTAGATGATAGTAAGCTATCATGAATCATGGATATCTATCACATTTATCTCATCCCTGAGATGATAGCAAGCTATCATGATTTTCGAGCTGATAAAGCTATGACGATTCACTATCTTGATAAGAATTATAATTAGTTGATGTACTTTGTCCTCTTCTTTCCTCCTCTACAAATAGGGGTCACCCTAAGCGATACAAAACATAGGGGGTAGGGGTCATACAGAACTGAAGAATTGAAAAGTTCATTTGAGTATGAAAGAATAGTTGTTCTTCTTTCTTACTTTCCTCTTTTCCTCCACTATAATAGTATTAGTTTTACAACGACCTCTTTATTCTTAATTTAGTCCTGCTTCTCTGAGTAAATATGGAAGCAATTCAGCTGACACCAAAATCAAACAGAATGTAGAAAGGCACCAACTCCAGTCCACCTATATAATTGGACGTTCTATACATATACACTAGAAACCCTATGATGGTGATTCAATGAGCTTGTCAAGCTGAATATCCATAATGTCAGATACCATTTCAAGAAATGCAGCTTCACTCATGCCGGGGAGCATGGATTCTTGAGCATCATGAATGATCTCTTCTATCATGGATTTCTTGTTTAAGGATTCCCTGCACATCATCCTTCCAATGGCAAAGGGAGTGAGCCCTCTGGCTGCCCCTTTCTTCAGAAGCATGGTGGAGATGCGGAATGTTCGAGCACATTCCAGGGATAGATCCAACCCATAGAATTTAAGTAGTCTGATGTCTAGCTCAGCATCAAGAGTGTCTATGTAGCTAGTGGTCTCTGGCGAGAAAGGTTCACGGGCTTGTGGCCAGTAAAGCCAGTCAAATGTGCAATCTTCAAACTGCCAAGAGGACAATGACAAGCATTTATCAATTGCAGATCTTGAAACAAGAAATAATGCATCTTTTGAAAGAAGAAAATAATGATCACAATGCTTTAAAGTATGTAATTTGGATAGTTTAACAAGACCTGAGGAGTTTTAAGTTGATTACACGCTTTTTGAGACATAAGAATTAGTAATTTTGCCTCCATGCATACCCCAACAGGTGTATATTAAGCACAGTAGGAACGGACAAAACACGTTATGAAGACTATGGCATCTAATGGAGAAGGAACAAGGATACTGGATCCCGTTCCTCAATTTACTTCACCAGATCATTTTAGAAGTTAACCCATTTCTAACCCTCCTGTATTCATCTACAGACTTATTTCTTCTCCAGATTTGTCTTGCACCCTAGTGCCTATAATCTGAGTCAACTAAATTTGTAAATTTCCAAAAATATTTATCCAGTAATATATCACAGAGAGATGGGTCTGCAAATGAAACACTCTCGTTCAGGAATTATAGGCATTAAGAATTGTATTTGTAAGAATTAGAAGAATATAAACATGAGAAAGGATATTCCTTACAATCTCAGGCAAGCAGTATCCATGGTCAATTGGGATAAGCTCGATTCGCCCTTGTTTCCCTTCTCTGGTTACCAATATATTTCCAGCATGCCTATCTGCATTTGCAGTTCTTATGTCCAAGACACTGATTTTGTGAACCTCCTCCACAGGAAAATCTCGAGGACCCATGTCCTCGCAGCTCCCAGAATTACTCATAAACATCTGCAGAGATCCCAGCTTCATATAGTTATGTGGATTCTCATACCCTTCTGGATGATAGAATTCCTTGTGTGAGCATTGAACCATTACTGTAGGGGGAACACCAGCAAAACCAACATCCCAATTTGACAGGCAGCGTGGCCCATTCTTTGGGTGATCAAGTATATAGGCTGCAACTTCCCTTAAGGCTCCCTCTCCAACTCTGGTCCCTTTCTTCAATCCTTCACCATTCAATGACAAAGGTAGCCCATGGGGATTATTTACAGCCATCGGTTCTTCATCTATGGGCTTGAAAACAGCAACAGATTTATCTCCTGATGCGTCTTGCATGAAGTAAGTTCCTCCTGTACCCTCAGATGATCGCAGAGGTGGTCTTCCATTCTCCAATCCTTCCAATACAGAATCAATCATCTGCTGCACAAATAAGGGAAATTTCACCTTTGGATTTACAATGACTGGTTCCAGCAAACTGCTTTTGTCCTGTGGCTTCCAAGATGTCACTTGATAGTCCGTAGTTTGTTCCTTTTCTTCCTGCACTTTTTCTTCATGTGTCCTCTCACTGCAATTTGCAGCCACAATTGAGAATTCAACATCTTTCTCAATAGGCTTAGCCCGAACTTTTGCAGATTTTTCAACTACCAAGTGAAGAATAGCTTCAG